TTTTTTTTTTTTTTTTTTTTTCCCTGGGTTAACTTTCTGCAAATTAGTAACCTGAATTGTCTGTGGCAGGAGCTTGTAAATGCCCCAGCCAGGCAGAGCTTGTCAGCACCCTGGCAGTGTGCGTGGAGAGGAATTGAGACCCAGCATGGAGGAGGAAGAAGTGGGCACGGTCCCTGTGCTGGAGTGTGGTGGGTTAGCTCAGGATGAGTGCTTGCCTCAGCCAGCCTCATGGCTTGATGCTCTTAAAAGGGCCCTTCTCTTCCCCTGCCTTCAGCTGTGCCCTCCGGCCTCCTCCCACATGCCAGCTGTGGTGCTGAGCTGATGCATTGATGAACTGATCCTGCTAACTTGGCATAAAATTGTCCCTTTTTTCGGCTTGACCTTTTCTCCATTAACTTAGCAAAGTGGTCAGGAGGGGAGTGGGATCTTGGAGGCAGGGAGCTGTTTTATCGGCAGAGCTTTCCCTTTGGGATGGTGCTCATAGCTGTAATGGGTGTTTTCTTCAGGCTTGCATTGTTCCCCCAGTTTCACTGTCCTGCAGGTATCCCCTAGGCCTGGAGGATAATTCTTGGTGAGATCCAAAGCGCGTTATCTCTGGCAGGCCTTCATGTGCAGAGGGTGGGACTTGGCAACAGCAGTAGAACTTGTTCCAGCCCTGCAGGTGGATGGTGTTCACCTTTGGTTTGGGGTTTTTCTTTAGGAAAACAGGCTCCTAGCCTCATCTGACCTCTAAAGAGATATTTGAATGAAGGTTTCTGCTGAGGAGTTCTCCTTTCTTCCCCTTTTCTTGTGTTGTGGTCAGCTACGTCATTTGCCATCACTGCAACCCCGGATAAGGCTATGGTGTGTATTTTCTACTGTGCTTTCTGAGAAGGCCTCAGTTCATAGAAGGTTACGTGGGCAGCTGCAGAAATATTTTGGACCCTGGCTCTTCGGAGCTTTTGAACAAACTGGCTTAGAAACCTTTTCCTGCGATATTCGATGTTGCAGGTACTCCTTGGCATTCCTCCCCTCCCTCCTCAGGGGCTGAAAAAGCGATTACAGGAGAACTTTCAGTTTACTCTAGCATAGTTACAGGTCACACAAGTGCTGAATGCATATGGGCAATGAATTCACACTGTCTTGCCTCTTTTTGGAGGAGATTGTACGTTTAGACTTCAGAAAGCTTAATCTTCTGTGAAGTGTGTTCCTTAAGGGTGGGGATTAGCATTCAGTAATTTTGAGGAGAGCTTCTAGTAGCAGATACTGATTGTTTTATGAGTCCCGAGGGCTAGGGATTGATTTTTTGGATGAGTTTGAGTAAGAAGAGGCTGGGTGATAGTTTGAGCTGGTGGTTTTCCACCCAAGTGCTGAATTACGACAGTTGACGTGCAAGCCTCCTGCCGCTGTCGCGATTTTGGATCGCAGTGCCAGGGCTGGCTGTGCTGTTTGTCCTTTGCTGGGGTGGCACTGCTTGCTGCTTGTCACATAGGCTTCTTCCCTCTTTTTTTGTGCCCAGTCAGCCCCAAACGGGCTCTTTCCAGCTCTTTGGGAAATGCGTCTCTTCCCAGAGCTCCCGTGAGACCCCAAAAGGATTTCCTTATGAGTGTGGCTGCTTTGGGATGTTTCAGTCACAGGGGAGAGAGACCAAGAGTGGTCAGTGAAAAATGATCCCTATCTCTAGTGCTCGGTTATTCAGCAGTCCCGGGATGCTGATACCACTTTAATCAGAATGGAAATAATCACTGAGTTTTTCCAGTATGGCTTCTGTGCCTCCCCCATAAACTTGTTCTCTAAAGCAGCCCTTCAGTACTGGTCTCTAGCTGAGAGTTTTCTCTACAGCAAGGGAAAGTTTCATCAGGCCTTCTCAAAATATTGCTGAAATAATGTGTAGAAATGTGAGGTGAGATCTTTTGTTATCTTTGTGTTGTGGCTCTCGGGGCTTCCAGGTGGGTAGTGAGAGGCATTTTGAGCCAGGAGGCAGAAGAAGATGCAAGCATGTGCCAATGCTGAAAGCTTTGGGGCTCTTTTTTCCTCTAAGGAAAAGACCTTCCCTCTAGATCTGCTTTCTCTGAGGGCGAGTAGTTTGCTTTTCCTAAAGTAAGGGGCTCTTCTAATGAAATGGTCTTGCAGTCATCTACAAATCCAGAGTTTAGTGCCAGTGGAAAATCTGGTGTGATGATTTCAACATTGGGACTGCAATGATACGAGTATTTGAGGCTGCCGCGATTCCCTGTTTGTGTCCCTTAGACTTTCTGGTTAGGTCTTGGCATCTGTGGAGTGTGAGCTCTGTGCTGTGGGAGACGATCCCTGCATGACAGACCATGCATGGTGTTTTCCCACCCCAAAGGAAATATTTCTAGTGGAATTTTTATGATAGTGCCTGGGGCCTGCATTAGAGAATAAAAGGTGGTTATTCTAAAACCTCTGAATTAAACTTTGCAGGATCCTCTTGGGAAGATACCGAGAATCAATGTAGCTGTGTCTCTCTTTCTCTTAAAATTAGACTTCTACTTCTAAAGACACAGGGTAAAGACTGGCTGAAGACAAGGAGTGGCCGGTTCAAAGGGAGAAAATTCAAAAGGCCCTTGCCTATATGCTCCCAAAAATCCTCAGCATCTTTTCTTTCTCCTGCATGCTGGAGACATCTTGGAAAGTATAATTTCAGTAGTACTGGCAACAACTGAACTTAATAGGCACAAGCAAGTTGTATCATTGATTTCATTAGTTCTGGCGTTGAGTTCATTTAAAGCTTCTGCCACATGTCGTTCATGCACAGAATCGCTGTTGTAGGGGCTGCGTAAGTGGTCCTGCAAATTTTGGAGAGTAGTCACAATGTCCTGTGTGGAATAAAGCATCAGGAACAGGGCAGTAAACCTTATTTTAATAGGTGTCCAGGTCAGATCAGGTGTTTTTTCAGGCTGGGCACTAGCGTTTTTGTTGGTGGCAGTAATATAGAAGTGATCTGGACTAACGATCTCGTGTAATCTATCATAAAGTTCTGTGCCACAGCGCTGTGTGTGTTTGCATGGTATCAATTCAGTTCCCCCCGAGTGAGCTGTTTGGCCAAGATGTGAAACTTCATGTGCTCTGCGTGGGGAATTTTGTGCTTCCAGAGGTGTTTGTGAAGCCCATGCGTTATGTTTATCCTTGTGCCGGCTGCCTTGTGCTGGTTGCTCTTTCAGGAAACATTTTCTCATGTCTTAGAATAAAATTTTGTTTGAATTTTGGGGTCAGCCTTTGGGCAGGTAAGAAGTTTGATTTTCTGAGAATAACAATTGCTGAGTATAAATACAAATCTCCTTCAGAAATGTACAGAGGAAGATAAAGCAACATGTTGTAATGGTACTGCATGCAAAACCCCACAAACACTTAGTAGTAAGCTGTAAGGAAAGTATAAGAATAGGGCTTTATAGCCTCATGAAAACTTTGTAATTGAAGCTAATGTGAAAAAGGGCTTCATTTGCTACTGGCAAAGATGTAAAATTGTATATTGTGGACTTGAAGCATCGAGCCTCTGTGTGGTAATGGTGATAAGCTGGGATAAAAGTTGTGCGCAATTCTGTCTGCTGAATGTGGCAAAGTGAAGTGCTCCATGATTACCATGGTTGATTTGGGCATGAGAAGGTTTGCTTAAAAGCCTCAGTCAGAGGTGGAAGAGTTCCTGGAGTCTAGAAGCAGTACTCCAGACCTGTGATGTGGTTGGGTCACCACCCTCCCCTCAAACCAATGTTCCAGCCCTGGTACCATAGTACTGCACGCCCCTTATTCCTGGAAACTGGAATCCAAGCCCTCTTCTTCCTTCTCCCCGCCACGCTGGTTCTGTGCTGCTACGCCAAAGCCTGCCGTGCTCCCGAAACGTCCTCTGTCAAGTGGAAAGGGTGCAACTGCTGCTCGCCTCCGCCTCCTGCTTTCCCCCCCGCCTCAGTGGCGGCTGTGGCAGCTTGGAGCCAGGACCTGCTGGGGCAGGTAGGGCTGCTCATTGCTTGCTGGTGCCTTGGTGACTTTTGAGCTGGAAGCTGGATGTGGCTTCTGTGAGCTCAGCCCGGTCTGGCAGTCGGCCATGTTGGCCTGTGGGTGTCCCAGGGGAGGGGGGTCGTGATACTGTCCTGCCTTTGCAGGAAGAAGCTGTTTCCTGCAGACCTCTGCACTGCATCTGGGTGCTGTGCACTTTGCTCCGGCGTGGCTCAGCTCGGCGGCCTCCAGCCCTTTTCTCGTCCCTGAGCTGCAGGCTCTTAAAGCTTCCCCTGGAGGTGCATAACTTTGTGTATCAACCTTAGTCCTGCTGGCTTCAGGTAAGTCTTTTCACACCTTTTATGGATTTATTAGTCTGTGCACATGCTGGTTGAAAACCATTGCCTTGATCTGATGCTTCAGGAAATCATTTGAGGCAGCTTCTCCCCTGCTCTGTAAAGAAAAGCAGAGAACAGAGGGGGCAGTGAGATTTAGGATTTTTTTTTTTTTTTCCCCCCCCCCCCGAACTTAAGATGAAATCAAGATCCTGCAAATAGGGGTGGTTCTGCCCTTTGTTCCTTGGCTGCACATACCTGTGTCTTGTGATGGGTTGGTCAGCTCAGATCTTGCTGGAAAAGCAGTCCACTGCCGGCATGAGGGAGATCATGGAGAGCAAGGCCGGGTGCAGAGCTCCTCTTCCCTGGGAGTGTCTTTTGGACTGGTGTAGTATGTGGCTTGGTCGCTCCAGCTGAGAGCCCAGGGAAAAGCGCTTCATGTGCTAAAGTCTTATTTTCTGGTCATATATGGGAATTCAGGCTGGCTAAGCTGACTCCCTGTGCAAGTGTTTATGGGTGGGATTCTTCTTTAAGCAGTGACTTAAGATGATGATTCTTGGCGAATTCTGTGCAGCTGACTGTAAGCCCTGTTTGGGACCAGCAGACTTGGGCTGTGCCAACTGGAAAAGGTCAGCTGAAGCTAGGAGCTGCCTGGGCACATGGTTAGGTGTCTGGTTTGCAGTGAGGAGGAGCCACCCTCTATATCAGTAGAAGCAGATGGCTCGGCTCTGCAGCCTGAACTGATCCAGGACCTTTCATTTCCTAGTGTGTCAGTGTCTGCTCTGGTTCAAAGCAGACCTGGGCACGTCCAGTAGCTTGTAAGCACATGGGTCCATGTCTCAACAGGGCAGAAAAGCTGCCTACTCCCCACTGGAAGTGGAGGAAGAGTCTTGGTGGGAAACTTGACATCAATCTACTCTAAGCAGATGCACTTGGGGATTGATAATTGAAGTGGCCAGTGTCCTCCTGCTTGGGCTTCGTGATAGCAGCCAGCTGAGTTGACCTGCTTTTAAAGGCAAACGGTTGTCCTATTTACCTCACCTCTCCTTGATGGAGAGGCATTACCTGTGTTAGCAGAGCTGGGAAGTTATTTTTCTTCCGTAGGCTTAGTCCGGAGGAGTATGCATTTGAACTGTTCTGGGTGTAGTGAGTTAAAGATCCTTCTGGAGCAGAAAAAAGGCAAAACACTGCTGCTCCCTATCTGGGTGGTGATTCTGAATGGAAGCACAACCCTTTGGGGAAAACGGTGCTGCATCAGTAGCTGATGCTGCCGAGTGGACTGCACCTTGCTCTGGGTTTTTATCTTAGGCTGGTCTCCTGGACTCCAACAAGTTGACAATGCGGAGGCCATTGGTGCAGGAAAGAGGTCTTGCAGCAGTGTCTTGTTCCATTTGCTGTTGGCAGGCTTTAGAGCAGTCTCTTGCATAGAAAAGTCACATGAGAAAAGCATTTAATGTATTTTTAGATGTCTTTTAAAGTGGCTTAGTAGCTGAAAAGAAACCTGCGTCAGGTCACTCGCCTGCTTGCTGCAGTTTGCCCAGAAGTGCTCGAGCAGACTATTAATGTGGAATAGATCCAGTCGGCGACTTCTGCTGCGAGGGAATTTTGTTGGATGCTACCAGGATGCAGCTGGCTGTGGGAGGTGGCCCTCGCTGTCAGTATGTGCTGCTTAGATGCTGGTTAGGACAATAGTGGGAAATTAATGGGAGATGTCCAGCTGAAACCAGTTTAATTTCTTTTTCCCTTTATCTTTTGGAATTGTTTGGGTTTTCCTTGGCAATTTTGTGCAGTGCTCTTGCATGGTGCAGTTTTTTTTTTACAGGGTCCAAATTTGGCATGCTTGCCTTCTCAGTTGGTTTGAGCCTGGCAGAAGAGGTCCTGCCTTTCACTTGTGCAGGGGAAGAGAGAAGTGGTCTTGCGGACTCCGCATCCAGCCAGGAAGCTGAGCCAGATGGAACCTGGCCTCTTGTTTGTCTCTTGCTGGCTTTTTTTAATGTGTGTCAGTTCCCCCATCCACTTCTCTGGGCGGCTGTAACAGTTGTACCAGCACAAAGGAGAGAGAGAGAGGACTGGGATGGGGGGGATGGAAATGCTTCCTCTGGAAGTAACACCAGCGTAAAATGACCATGAAGCTGGCAGTGATGCTGCTCGGGGGCTTCAAGCAGGCCAGGGCATGTCTGTCCTGGGAGGATGAGTCAGGGAGAAGGTTCACCTGTTCATTTCTCTACAAAATGTTGACTTTCCAATCCTTTGCCACTGTGGGGGAATAGCATGCTGCTCGTGGCTCCCGTGTTGCATGATCTCTTGAGACCTTTGTAGGGCATTAAATAGGAGGAAAAGTGCATGGGAGTAGGAAGGAAGCATGATGCACTGCATCGCCTTGCGCCAGGGACGGCAGTATTGCTGTAATGCATGTGCTGGTGGGGGGAAGCATGAGCTGAAATCCTGGCTCGTACATATGGGGTGAGATTATTGGTGCATCACAGGTTTGGGTTTTTTTGCTGCTTGTTTGGTGGCTGGGTCGTTGTTATACCAGTTCCTACAAGATAAGAAGAAAATTTCTTTCCAGGAGGCCTGCCCTTTCAGAATAAGCTGAAAAGAATGGGAAGCGATGGCAGGTGAGGAGAGCAGGGGACTTGAGAGAAGCCTCCTTTAAGAGTGGCAGTGTTTATGTAACAGCTAATGCAAAATATTAATGTAAATAAGACAAGCTGTGATTTTTACCTTGAAGCATCTGGTGAGGTGACTCTTCAGTGGTAGTGTGTAGGCAGGTGGGACAAGAGAGCTGGAAAGTACCAGACCGCTCTCCTTGTTCTCTGAAACAGTTTTGACCGTAAATGATGAAAGTCTGTGTATAACAAGGAAGAGGAAGACAGACAAATGAAAACCTGGGAAAAGGTGAACCTTTTTCTCGCTTATTTGCTAAGGTGCTTAATAATTGGAAGAAATAGCTGGGGGGAGGCTATGGCTTTCCCATCTCTTGAAGCCTTTGACTCAAGATTTGCTTTAATGAAGTAGGGGAAACTTCAGGGACCCATGTAACAGCTCTCGCTAAATGCTGGCCATAAATGTTTAAGAACTTAATGTAAAATACAAATGTTGAGCTTTTCAATATAACCGCTAAACTAAAGGCGTACATTTGTTTTTCTTGTCCCTCACTTAAAATGAGTGTGGCAGTGCCAAGAGCTCTTCTGAGATGTCTCTGCATCTCGCCCAAAGCCCCAGATCACTGCTTAGTTTATGCCACCTCAGTCTGAGCCCCAGCTTTTTGGGGATGAATCGTAACGGCGAAAGCAGAGCCGGTGCTGGAGCGTGGTGTCTGTAGGCGCGTATGCTGGCAGAGGTGGTCTCCGGGGGTGCCATGGAACTGGTGCCTGCCACGTCTTGTCTGGGGCAGGTTAAAGCCAGGTTAAAGCCTGGTGCAGATGGACGGCTGCATGTGCCACTGTGAGGACTTGCCTTGTAGGGAGATGTGCTGGCAGCCCAGGACCTTCTCATCCCTCCTGGACCAGCTGCCAGCCATTTCTGGGAAGGCTCCTGGGGCCGGTGGCTCCTGTGAGCTTTGCCTGTTGGGCTGGGGATGGATATGCCTGGCGTTTTGCCTGGGGTGCCTTTCAGTGCGTGTATAAATACCAGCAGGTTTCAGATGCGTTGCAGATTCTCCTCTGGTCCTTTTTAAAGCCCAAGTCATAAATAGGTTGGTGCTCAGTTGTGGGTCCAGCTGATCTGTCATTAGAAATGATGTCATGATTAAACTTGGCGCTGTGATGGCCTTCCTGTGGTGCTGCTCTCCTAGGCCTTGTTTTTCTGTTCTCTTCAGACCTGAGTGTCGGCAGGTGCCAGGTGAGATACATTTAGGCCCTGGAGAAAAGTTAATTTAGCAGAGCTTGCTATGAAGTGATGGTGAGCCAGACTGGCCGCAGTCTCTCTTCTCCTTTTGTTGTGGATGCCAATTATGCTCGCCCCACTTCCCGGGGAGCCCGTCCCAGCTGCAGCACAGCTTTGCACTAGATTTTATAGTTAACGCTCTTTGGAATCAGGGTAATTTAAAAAGTATCTGACCAAGAAGGAGCACAAGATGTAATTCCAGTGAAGTGGTGTTTGGTTTTTTTTCAGAAGGACGGTAGTTTCTATAAAGGGAATTGGCAGTGCCTGGCCTTTTAGCCCTGGGCGGGAGATGAGCTTTGAGGGCATGTCCCTTTGCTGCAGGGGCTGAGGTGCGTTTCTGAACTCCTCCAAACCATGCAAAGCTCAATTTGAGACATTCCTTGCATGTCTGGTATTTTTATAGTTAACCTGTGAAGCTTTTGTGTATGAAGCAGAGGTCCTGGGAAGGGATAAGAAGCAGGCTATTTTTACTCCATCACAAATAGGGCTTGGCATGTTTATTTTAGACTCTGGAGCCGCTCAGACCAGTATGGGGTTTTTTAATAGTCTTCCCCTGTTACTATCAGATTGAAAAATAAACTTGAACTCTGGAAATCACAGGAAAATAGGGTGCCCCGGTGTACTTGGCTCCAGCGAGGCTCTGAGGAAGCTGCAGGGAGGAGTTGGTGGCGTTGCCTGTGTTGTGCAGCGTGCTGGTCTTGAGGTCTCCTGCATGTCAGAGGAGGCTTTGCCGAGCCACCAGCTGACGATGGACTGCGTGCCCTTCTGTTGCATAAACTGCCCTGTGGAGAAGCTGCTGCCTTGCTAGGTGTCCTAGCTGGAATTTAAAGTCCCCAGCTGAATAACTTGAGGGGAGCTCTGGGGAGCAGGAGCAGAGCTTGGCCATTAGGTGGGTGATACTGCGACAGGTCGCTTGCCGCCTCCTGCTCCAGAGAAGATTCGAGTTGCCAGGTCACCAGCATAGCTTTGAATCTTTTTTTTTTTTTTTTTTTTTCTCCTCTGAGCAGAAGTTCACCAGGCAGTGGGAGGTGAAATTAATGAGACCAGCTCATTTTCCTGCTGCCACCAAAGTGTGAAAGAGGGAGGATTTAGGTCGGTCCTGCTCAAAGAGTGGGAGC